GAGCCGGGGCCGGGTTTCCTCCTGCTGGAGTCCTGAGCACAGAAGTAAACGCAGGATCTTGGCAACTGGTTTTTGCCCAAATACCACATTGTTGTGTGAGTGCTTCCCCACCGCCGCTGTCACGCTGCGCACCTCGAGTTTCCCTGCGGCTCTGCCTGTGGGGGAGGCCCTGTCCCGCTTGTCTGGAGGGAGCAGAGATGCGCCGGCGGCCTCTGCTGCAGAGTGTGCCTGAGGAGCCTCAGGAGCATTTTTAATAACTTTTAGTCCAGCACAATTCTGGTAAAACCCTACCAGTGTGCTGGTACAGCATTTCAGGAGACTTCCGCTTCTCTGAATTCGCTCACTGATAGTAGTCATTTTTTTATGATTGAAAAAAACAGCAAAGGGTTCAGAAAAGGTTCAGAGAGATGAAAATCTGCCTTAAACTCTGTTGACTAAAGTTACCAGAATCTAGTGAAAAGGTAATTAAGAAACTACTTGCAGTATGGAGATGAATGCAGTCCATGTTCTTGGTCAAGATTTTTGACAGTGGTTTTCAGCCTGCTGTTCCCAAGTCCTGGGCACTCTGTGGACCGTTTCTGAAGGTCCATGGAACATGTACATGAGACAAGAAGGACATTTCCCAAACAGAGAAGTCTGCATTCCTTTTGGAAAATTTGCTAGGATCTGAAAATTCAAAAAGATTGAAAGTTAGATGCCACACTGGACTCCAAAGCGACATACAAACAAGACAGACACAAACTTTTTGATAGCAGCTAATGATAACTAAGCATAAGCACAGTTTATCTGGGGATGTGGTATGTTCTTGTAGTCTTTAACTCAGAGTAAGTTGTCTTCCTTAAAGACCAGCTGCTAAGCGAATAGAAATGATGGCCTTGATGGGGAAACAGCGGAGGGGGCTCCTTGTTTGCCAGGAGCCAGCGGACATTGCATTAGATCACTGGAACGGTTTCTTCTGACCTTAAAGCATTTGAGTCTATGAAGCACCTTGAGCAGTCGTCCTGTACAACATGTACTGCCAGACTTCAGATCCGGTCTGGAGATGTGTGGAGCAGCCTAAGCCCCACCACTGAAATAGGGACATGGACTTTAATCTGCATTTCAGAATCAGGTTTGTTAATTGCTCCTCTCTGGTTCCAGCAACACGTATTGCATGTTACTCGTTTAGGAGTAATTAAGTCTGATTTTACACTCTGCTAATGTAAGATACCATCTTCCAGTCAGTCAGTAAATGTGTCATTTTGCCCTGTGTTACTTAGTGGTAGCAACAATTAACATGGGCTTTGGTATCAAGAGAAAATTTGGTATAAATAAAGTTGTTCCAAAGTGCCTGCCTTTTACCTGCCATTTCATATAATTGTGAAACGCTTCGGGGGGAGGTGCTGAAATGAGGTTGGTTGATTTCGGCAAAATGGCTTAAATACTGAACTGTGTTGTTGGTAAGGTGTTGAAGGAGAGAACCGAGGGTCATTTGGTCCGAAAGTGTTCCTCCAGGCTGAAAGCGTGCTTTCCCCCGAGCGTATGGATAAGCCCGCTCGTCGTTTTGGCTGGTCCACCCCAGGCTGCGCTGGCCCCTCTGTAGGTCTGGCCGATGCTCCAGGCTGTCGGCTGCTGGCTTTGGTCCCCACGGACACGGACGGGCACAGCCCCGCTGGCGGCCGCCCACTGCTCTCACCGTGCGGGGCTGGAGGTGTCCTGGGGAGCTCCCACAGGTGGAACAGCGACCAGCAGATGTGTATATGCGCACACGTGTATGTTTATATACGCACACATGTATAAAATTCACACTTCATAAACACAGATTCCTGTTGCCACCATCAGTTTGTTTTTTGTACTTATGAATCGTTCATGTTTGTTACTGAAGTATCCTAATCCTTATTTGCAGTAGGAAGCTCCATTCCCCTGTAAAAATATTTTCTCAGGCTGCACATGTTTTTTTTCCCCCATCTTATCTTAGTATAGATGTTGTGCTTTGAGCTTTTATGCATTATCTGGCCCCTGTCTTGACTGCTTTCCAACATTTGGAGCTGTGTTACTAGGGAGAGTTTCTTGGAGGTGGCTTCAGTGGTCCTTTCCGCGCGTCAGCTCTGCCGAGGACAGCCCATAGCACCCCTCGGTCCAAGGAGCAAACGCCCGCGGGAGCCCGGTCAGAGGGCTGTCGAAGGGGACGGGGAGGGCCCCGTGCCAGAGGGCTCGGGGGAGCCCTCTGACTCTTGCCACAAAGGAGAAGACAGACGTCTGCGGCCCCGGGCCAGCAAGGCGGCAGCGAGCACGGCACGGCCGAGCGGCGGGGCAAAAAGTTTCCGTTGGTCTGCGCCTTCCCACTGTGACTGGCAGCAGTCGCTCAGCTCTTCTGTGTTGTTGCTGGAGGTGGACGGCATTGTGCAATGGCAAATGCATTTTGTTTGAGGAAATGTGCTCAGGGATTACGAACGGCTGCTCGCAAAGATGAACTTTCTTTGCCGTTTGTTATGGTAGTGGTCTGCAAATTCATGGGACTTCCGGTAGTGTTGGTGCGTAGCCTAAAGATACTCACAAAACCTGACGTATTTTTTGTTGTGTCAGGTATATCTCCGGTGCAAGGATCGCTCGGATGTTGGTTGAATAACTATGAAAATAAGTTTTGAGAACTTTGGACTGCCAGCAGGGGAGACAAATTGGGGGGGCGGGGGGCAGCAGCAAACCATTTATCTCAGCCTTAAGGGGAGACAAAAATCATGGTACAAATTAGATTTCCGGCAGATCTTATGAGAAGAATGCATTTTAACTTTCTGATCAAATTGCAGTATAAGGTCAAACTGTATTGAATTCATTTGTTTCCTGACAAAAATAGTTTCTTACTTAAATTAAGGCCATCTTTTGCCTTGTCATTGTTGCTGTTTGGATTTATTTCAGAGATGAATGAGTAAAGGAAAAAAGTGTGATTTAAGGAATCTGGTTTTTTCCACAAAAGGATTCAATTCTCCTTTTTAGGGTTTTTTGTGGGTTGTTTTTTTTTTTTTTTTTTTATTGTTACCATCCCTTTACTGAAAGTGTGAGCTCCAGTGTTACGAAGGCAGAGCAAGCAGCTGGTACTAGAATTGTCAGTCTGCTCTGGTCAGTATGAGATAACCTAGCGAAGTAGCCGGGGACCTTCCTCTGAGGCCTGTAGCATGTGTTGTGTTTGTTTTAGTCGATGACATAAAGAACGAAGATACGCCTATGGCTTCTAAGCCACTTGTGTCAATTCTCTTCTTCAGGGTCGATGTTCAAGGGAAAACTGCAAATATCTTCACCCACCACCACACTTAAAAACGCAGCTGGAGATAAATGGACGCAATAACCTGATTCAGCAGAAGAACATGGCCATGCTGGCCCAGCAGATGCAGCTTGCCAATGCCATGATGCCTGGTGCCCCACTGCAGCCTGTGGTATGTACGCTTTTTGGCTTCAGTCAATGAGTACGGTGAGTTGTAGCTGAAGTAAGTTAGCGGGTGTGCTTTACATGCTGTAAAATCCCACAAATGTCGGTAACTGATGGAGGAATCAAATACAGTGAAATGCTAGCCAGTATATCTTTGCACTGCTTAATTCTCTCCTACCTGCAGTAATACTGTTAACTTAATTACATTTATTAGTCTTTTGTTAATGTAAATCATTTTTTGCTACATATTTCTTGAAATTAAGAAATTGAGTGATGTGTGGGATTTTCGTAAATGGGCATTTCCTTTGAAATTTCATGTGCTCTAGGAGATCCCTGGGTTTGAGAAGATTCCCATGGGATGTTTTCCATTCATTGAAGGGAACCTTTTCGGGGAATTACTTGCTGGAATTGGACTTTGCTTTTTACAGCACGTTGTCAGGCAGAGCTGAAAGGTTGCCCCGAGTGATGTGTGGTGCACGTCAGTCTGACCTGCAGGATCAACAGCTCAGGCTTGGCAGGAAGGAGGAGCAGTACAGATAATCACACTTCCTACAGAAAGCCAAGAGGTGGGGGAAGGAGAATCTATCAGAAATCTCTCATCTGGTCACAGTAAAATGGGATCATACATTACATCACACCTGTTTCTCTTATACCTTAGTAAGTAAGCGCAGTGCAGTGTTCCACAAAGTTGAACGCCGTGGCTGAGTTTCTTGCTCTGCAGTAATCCCCCGTTTCAGCAAATGTAAAAATGATTGACATCAACCCACCAGGCACATATGTGCTTGGGAGCTGGACACCCTGTGCCAGATCCCTTTCTAATGTAATCCAGAGAGGTCATTGGCGCTAACCTATGGATAAATTTGGCCCAGAACCTTTTTGATATACATCTCTAGATCAGGCATTAGAGATACTTATTAATGTATGAGCAGGGCTGGTATATTCTACATAAAAAGGCAAACAGTGCTGCCCTGGCTGAAGCGCTCTCTTTTGATGGGTAAAACGGCAACATAGGAAAAAAAAGTTGAAAAACATATCTAAAATACATATATCTGCATTAGCACTTCTCTGACAGTTCTTCTATTCCTTTCTTGCTGGCAAAGGTAGAATTTAGGGAGTTGAATTTACCTTTAGATACCTTCCATTAGGAAACCTATATTCACTCTGTTAGATGAGTTCTTCAACTTTTATTTCAAAAAACATAGTGACAATTGATACTCCTCAAAATACAACTAAATCCTTAGGAAAAATCAGCTCAGCAGAAAGGAGGCTCATACTTGTGCCAAATAGTTATTTGGCCCCATGTTTTGTGGGTCTACAGAATACTCTTAAATGTTTTGTAGCTTATTTGATTCAATTAATATAACTTACTCTCTCACAGAGCTTTATGCCTCGGCTGTTTCAAGACAGAGTATATGTCAGGGAGAAAAGCAGAAAATGTTGTGCTAAGATCGTCACAGTAAATTGACTTCAGTACCAGTTAGCACAGCGTGAAGAGATACGGTATTTTATTTTCTCTCTTTTGATTGGCTTTTCTTTAAATAAAATCGGCTGTATCACCCAGGCAAGGAGATGAGCTGAGTCAGCGTCACCATGCAGGCACCGAATGCTGTGGCACTGCAGTGCTTCAGGGGATGCCCTAACACTGCGCCGTGCAGCCTGCTCCTTATTCCCTTCATGCATGAGAAACGGGGCTGCCTGTGGGCTGGTGCCCACTGCTCATGGCCTTCAGACCAGAGCAAAATTGAGTGTCTGTACAGCTAGAAAGCTCAGAAGAAGGCTGTATTTTAGGAGCTTTAATTCCAGAGCAACCTCAAAATGATTTTTCAATTTCAACGGCTCAAAAACAGGCATGTGCACATGCCACAATTCTAGTTTTATTTCCTGATTTGAGTACAGTGATACAGCATTAGTGCCAGGAAATTCATATTCAGGACTATGAGAAAGCTCAAGGCAAAATGCAGCTGACAATAAGAACAATTGCTTAAAATATTCTTCTCTGTTAGCCTTTTTGTTTGTTTCATGAAGAGTAACCAAATACGGCGCGCTCGGTTTTATACAAAGCAGTGTGTAGGCACACACCGACATTTGGGTAAACATGAAAAAAAAGTTAATGCAGTCCTTTGGATTAACGTTCCTTTTTAATATGAAGAGAGGCTAGTGTGAGGATAACATTTAAATCAAATTTAAATTCTCCTTTATGCTACACTCACACTGTCCCTAACGAGCAAAGTTTGAGTCAGTGTATTTTGAAGTGTGGCACAAACCTTCTACCCATGCGTGGGTAATTTCTGTGTACAGTCACTTTGAGTTCAGACATTACAGACTGTGTATTTTCAGAATTCGGTCTCATTCAATACAAGGACTCATAGCAAGGCCCATTGGCTGTCCCAACAATAGTGTTTCCAAATAGATGTCATCCTACTAATTTGGCCTTAAAATTACTTTATTTTTTAGCACAGTTTAAATGGATGATATTTCATGGTGTTCTAGGAAGTGATTTCTGTCATCCTGTCTAACGATGCTTCAGTCAGTTTGTTTTACAAAAATCAATACCATATGCTTTATTAAAAGTAAGTGAACTAACTTAATGAGAGACTCTAATTTGGTAAGCAAAGCAGTGGGATCCTTTCACTCATATTTCTGTTTGATAAATGTTTTAATTATCTTAGATGCAAGTATTGTCTGTGGATTTTTCTCATCTTTCGTTTTTAGTTCACTCTTTTATCTGTCTTTAGCTGGCACTTGAGGGAGGGGATTTCAGACGGTCAGAGGGGACTGCGTGTCCTGCTGACTGCAAGCACTGAGATCCTGAAGAAGACCTCTGCCTGCTCGGATCAGTTCTGCCCCCCTTGCTTGTAAATCACTTTAGGGGGAATTGGGCTCAGCTAGAACATGCCTTTGGTACTAGCACATCTGTTTGGTACTAGCGCATCAGTACTGGCGCCTTGGTTGGTACTAGCTCATTGGTTGGTACTAGCACGTCAGTTTGGTACTAGCTTATCAGTTGGTACTAGCACATCAGTTGGTACTAGCATGTCAGTTTGGTACTAGCGCATCAGTACTAGCGCCTTGGTTGGTACTAGCTCATCGGTTGGTACTAGCACATCAGTTTGGTACTAGCGCATCGGTACTAGATGGTCAGTTTGGTACTAGCCCATCAGTTGGTACTAGACCGTCAGCTGGTACTAGTGCATCAGTTGGTACTAGCGCATTGGGGATAATGCTGCATTGCTTCACAATAGCAATGTCAGATCCTGGATTTGCCTTTTCCTGTGCAGAAGAGTGTGAAAAATGCTAAATAGAAGCAGGAAGATGCAGATGTGAGACCAGAAGAGCAGAGGTGGACCGCGACGGTGGCTGGAAACTCCGGGGCCGTTCCTTGTCTCCAGGGGCAGGTGGGGTGCCGGCAGCACGGGGAGCTCCCAGGCTGCGCGATCTGCACAGGCCCGAGCCGCGGGGCTGTTGGTCAGGCATGTGCTTCTGCAGCGCGCTGGCGCTCCACAGGCAATCCGCTGCACGCTGCGGGTGCGAAGCTGCGGCAGCACAAGGTCCCAGGCCTTCCTGCGGGTGTGTTTGTAACCCACAAGTATCTGTAGGTTGCCAGTGTTTCTCTCTGTGTATGTGGTACACTCTTGTGCTTTCCTTGGCGTGGCAGGCGCTCGGTAGATGACTGTTAAAGATGCAATAAAAGAGTCCAGCTCTTTCCGTGTGGGCAGCCGGTCCTTCAGGGCAGTGAGCTGGAGCGCTGGCAGAAAGCCTGTCTGTCTGGGAAGGAGCCGTGGCTTCGCTGTGCTGCAGAGGCTGATTTCCAAAGGTGCCCCCGTGTCTCCTTCCCAATCGATAAGACCCCGTTAGCGAGCAGCGCCTCTGAAAGGCAGACCCATGGAGATCAGACCTGCTGGTGAGGTTCACGTTGGTTCTGCACAGGCATTTTTAGAGCAGAATCATTCAGTAGGGGAGACAACGTGGGTTATGTGGCATCTGGCAGCACAGAGCTGCATCCAAGGCTGTGTCCTCCTTCACCTCTGTTCTCTCTGCTGATCTACAAGAGCTGCTCTTTTCCTTTTTTAGCTGTTTTGCATGATACACAGCATAGTAGGGCCCAAACTGCAAGGCCAGTAAGAAGTTGTACAGTTTGGTCATGGTGATAGAGAATTACCTCTGCTTCTGGAGACGGGGAAGTGAAAGCTCCTGGAAAACAACCGAGCAGTAAACAGAAGAGATGAGCCCAGCGGAGCAGCCTGACCAGGAGCTCCCCCCTGCCTCTCCTCTCCTGCATGGCATTGAGGTCCCAGTTCGGACCAGTTTGCAGTTACAGGCACGGGAGCCCAGGCTGACCCTCGGCTGATGCTCGTGGACGGCAGGGCCGTGCTTGGGGTGACCCTCGCGACAGAGTCCTGCAGCCGCCTGAGCCTTGGGTCAGTGCTGGGGCGGCGGGGGACGGTCCCTGGGAGATCCAGTCTGTGCCGCCTGTCCTCTGAGGCCACTGTATTGCCAGAAATCTCTTCTGGGTGCAGGAGTGTTGGGTGGCTCTGTGCACTGGCAGACTCCTGCTGCTGAGAAGCGGGTGTGTGCTGCCCAGGTTTCACCACTTCATGGTCTCTTTCTGCCAGCAGCATGGCTCCGTGTCTGGGCTAGTACGACTGTAGGGAGGTTTTCAGCTCCTAATTTGCACATGTACAGCACATTGCAAAATACCTGTGAGCTTCAGAATAGTATAAAATGGCACTGATAAAATACGCTATTATTTTGCATTGGTCAAAAGGCCGCAGGTTATTTATATTAGTATAAAATGATCTCAGTAGAAAATAAATGGGGTAGTCTTTTATTTACTGTAAAGTGAGTATATTGGGCTGAAATCAAAAATTGATATCTCTTTAAGTTACACACCAACAGACTGGTTTGTAGTTTTATTTTTAATGTTCATTTATTACATTGCTGATAACACAGTAGTGAAAAGTGCAGTTAATTAATAGTGTCTTTAAGAGTAACATTTTATTTCCTGCAAAATTTGCCTGTTTGTTTTTCCTTCACATGAAGAACCAGAGATGTTAAAGAAATTATTCCCATTTGCACAACTTTCAGGTTTTTTTCTTCAGTAACCTCTGCATGTGTTTTTGTCCAGTATTTCAGATGGACTTGTTCCTTGCTTCCAAACGGTTCAGTCATTTCCTCAGGAATACATAAGCATGTGGTGTTATATGCTGTCTGGCTTAAATAGATATGAAACAGAGAAAAGGAATTGCGTTAACTCTGTAGTTGTTTTTCCCTCTAAAAATTAGTTTGGAAGAAAAGCCTAAATGCCTTGAGTAACTACTGTGTTTAGATACTAAAGATAAACACTCCAGACTAAATTTTATTTGGCAATTACACTGCTAGTGCAGTGCCTTTGCATTCAGTGGGGCAGAAGAGTTACTTACTCTTTGCTGTGGTGTAACAGCTCTGCATTTGGTCTTAGAACATTATTTGGTCTTCTACATCCAAATATCTTCACAACGTGTGATAGCATGCAAGGACATCTGACTTTTTTTTTGTAAACAAGCAAAAAAAAACAGTATTTGCATGCTCGCTCTTTCTTTCTCTGGCTTAATGTTTTAGTCTACATAAAGCATATCCTTGATGCAGTGTATTTCTTTCTGAATACCTGCGTGGACAGCCTGTTTAATTTTGCAAAAATAAATTATTATGGTCATCTGGTCTTGTTCCTGTATTAAACCCTGTAATTTCTGAACCAGTGCTGGCTGTCATCAGGGTCAGAAATGTATTTATCTTGTCTGAAGTTGAGCGTGGTTTGATGGTGTGTCGGGGCTCTCGTGCAGACGCCTTTCTCCCTGAGAGCGGATGTTTGTACGTGTTTTGGACGCGTCCCTCCGAGAGCCTCAGACTTTCTCCTGTGGCCGCGAGGAGTGCTCGTTAGTGACGGCGCTGCTCAAGTGCGGGTCGAATGAGCGTTTGCCGCAAGAGCTGCCACGTGCTGTAATTGCGCAGGAGGCGTGAGCGGAGAACCAGCGGAGGCTGGCGGGGATGCCTGCCCTCGTGGACTTGCTCGTGTGCAACGTTTGCACAGGTGTTCTTCGTGTTCCACAAACACGACAAACGCTTCTTTCCCAGTAGCAACAGAAATTCACTGCCGTCATGCTCAAGATGATAGCCAAAAAGTTATGCTGATGGCATGGCAAGTATAAATATTTCAGGTGTCTGTCGTCTTCTTTTCTCTGATTGCAGCCGATGTTTTCCGTTGCACCGAGCTTAGCCACCAACGCATCAGCCGCCTTCAATCCCTACCTGGGACCCGTCTCCCCAGGCCTGGTCCCAGCGGAGATCCTGCCCACCGCCCCGATGCTGGTGACAGGGAACCCCGGTGTCCCGGTTCCTGCCGCTGCCGCCGCTGCTGCCCAAAAGCTAATGAGGACAGACAGGCTGGAGGTAGGAGCCGATGCATGTAACTTACTCTCACAAGTTGTATCATTTATTATGCCTTCTAGATACAAAATATTTTTCTTGTGAAAGAAAATAATGCCAGTTTCACTTTAGCTGATAATGTTGCATCTTAGTGACAGGTAAGGACAGGGAGTGACTGAGTGATCATACACTAAGTTAATGCCTGCGGTTCTGCTTCTGACCCTCCATTGCAGAAAGAAATGGAAGTATTGAGCCCTTTTAGGAATGACCATGGCAGCAGCAAGAGCACCGTGAAACCGTGTTGATGTGTGTCCAGAAGTGTTAACGTGGGGGGTGCACGGGCAGGGGTAGCGAGCACCAGGGGCGGGTGTAAGGGCAGAGCTTCAGCTGCCTGGGTAAAAGATGACTTTCAGCCTCTCTCTTACTTTCACTCTGGACAGATGGTGCTGGCACTTCCCCGCCGGCCTCCCGCGCCCGGCTTATCATCCTTGCTACAACCCTGACAAGTGTTAGTGCTCTCTAGCTGGTACTCTCCCTTGCCCTGAATCTTTCTTATCTGAAAGGCATGACAGTGTTTTCGGCACCTTATCGGTGCTGCGGCAGCGTAGGCAGTGAGCCAGCGACATGCCGCCGGCTGGCCCGCCCCTTGGGCGG